AACCCCCAATCCCCAATCAAACCCTAAGGCTATTTCATTTCTTCTTCATCTCCAACATCTCCAAAATCTAGCCGCCCCCAACCCACCTCTGACCTCACTGGCGACTCACCACCAAACTACCCCAAATCCTTACCCTGTAATTCCCACCTCCTCCTTATCCTATATTCCTTTTTTATTTCTTCAAAAACCACCTAGATCTCCATTAATTCCAGATCTAACAACCCCCAGAAATCCTAGGTTCCTTCCGTTTTGATTTTTTCAAGCTTCAGGTTTCGATTCAAGCTGAAAATGACATTAATCGATTGTTCTCGTTGACATTAATTTCATTTCGTGTCGAAGATACCGGATTTCGGCCAACCAGTCCGAGTTCCAAGCTGCCATTCTCTTCAGGGTAATCATCCCCGTTTTCGTTAGTCTTAATAGCTACTGGTCTTGCATTTAGTATTAGATACTGTTTCAGTGGTTTATTGTTTAGTTTTTTAGTTAATTGCATGATTAAATTAGCATTTCAAATACATACCTTCCATGTGAGTTTGTGATTGTTTAGTTGTTGATTTTTGTTTGAAGCGGGTTAAATCAAGCATGCTTAGGTTAATAATTAAAATTATTTTGATTTTCTCTAAGTAACCGTTTGTCTTAGTTCAATCTGAAGTCTTTTTGATAATCGTTTTGTTGGTTCAAATTGTCCATTGGCCTAATTAACACGTTAATTAGTTATTAACTCTATTTAGTTTGTATTTTTTAGCCTATTGCTAGTTTAGCTTAGTCAATTATAGTTTAATTCTGCTAAGAGAGTGGCTGTAATTTTGGCTAGAAGAGGATAAGTTTTGAGGAGTCCGAAACTTTTTTGATGGTTTTTTGGACAAAAAGCACGTTTCTAATGCTAAAAAAAAGCTACATAACTAGGTAAAACGCATTACTATATTGCGTTTTACTTTAACGGAAAGTTAGCCATTAAAGTAAAACGCAGTAAAGTACTGCGTTTCACTTGTCCAAGGAAGAAGGGACTTTATTTTATTAAAGCAATTCGCAGTACTATACTGCGTTTTAGTTATTCGCAGTACTATACTGCTTTTTAGTTAAACGCAGTATAGTACTGCGAATTGCTTTAATAAAATATAGATGGGCTCAAATTAATAAGTGAAACACAGTACTGTATTGCGTTTAAGTAAAACGCAGTATAGTACTGCGAATTAGTTTTAAAAAAATAATTTTTAAATAAAACGCAGTATAGTACTGTGTTTTACCTAGTAACTTTTTTTAGCATTAGAAACGTGTTTTTTGTCCAAAAAAGCATCAAAAAAGTTTCGGACTCAAGTTTTTAGGTAAAAGATAGAGTGAAAAATAGAATTTTAAGGGGGGTTAATTAGAAAGCAAAGATAGGGATTCTTAGGTGGCTATTTGAAAATTTCTAGAAGAGGGAAAGCTGTACAAATTGATTTAGGAAAAGATGCCAATTCCCTGATTTTTAGGAAAGCTGGCGGAGGACTCTCACACACCTCCCTACACTTTATAAAGCACACTGATTCTCTGTAGAAAGGACACCTTCTTTCCCTCATTCTGATACTGATCTCTCACATAGAAAATATTCTAGAAAAAGTTCAAATTTAGACCTAAAAAAACAAAAAAAAAAAAAAAAGTGGAATTCTGTAAAAAGAAAAAAAAACAAATCAAAGTTGTAGTTTATTTGCTGATTGATTTTGAGGGGATTTCCATCATTTCTCTAGGTACCAAGCTGTTATTCGTCTAATTCCGGGGCTGTTTTTGTTGATTTATCACTACTGAACTTCATTTGGATTTTTTAATTACTGCTTTCTGCTTTTCAGGTACGGTCAAGCTCACTTGTATCACTCTATTGCCTCTATGAATGGAAACTTGTATTGTCTGGTGTTGTGTTTGTGTTTAATTTCCTTACTAGGTTCAACTGCAATTGCTTCCATGTAAATTTCTGGTTTTGATTGTTTGTTTGACTAAATATTGTGGTTGAAGTTATCTTCTGACTAGTTTACACAACTACTCAATGTCATTGTGTAGGTTTAATATCACAGATTCATCATTATTTTGGTTTACAAGTTTTTATATGTTAAAATCATCTCATAATTAGTTTATTGTATAGTGTATGATGGTTTATTCTCTGAAAATGAAAATTAGATCATACTCAAAAATGATATCTATAGTAATAGATTAATCAGACATGCTGCCTAGCCATTTAGTTGTTGTGCATGACAGCCGATTCATAAGGGTAGCCCCGTGGCTATTTTTCTTATAAATCAAAGATCTGTCCGAAGAAACGAGAGGCGTGTGATTCGAGGATAGCTATGATCATGCAAGATAGTGTGATGGAATCATGGAATGCATTGAATTAGCTTTAGATTGGTGAAATTTGTAATTTGAATCATAAGTTCAGTTACACTACATGATTGCTAAATTCTTAGCCCTGTGTTTTCATGAAATGCACATAGTCGTCGATAATGATTGTACTTGTTTACTTGATTTTTTTTTTTTTAATTATTGGCAAAATCAGTGTATAGATCCATACGTCTTCGAGTCCATATAATTGGGTTTCGATTTACTGGAGAAATCAATTAGCTGAATTTATGCTCTCTTACTCAGTTCATTCAAGAGGAAATTACACTAACTACCCACTAAACCTAAAATAATAACCCGGTTTTACCCATTTCAATAATAATTACTATACCTACCTAACCCAACCAAAATAATTACCCGTCTACCCATTTCTCAATTGCCTTACTAACCTCTCTCCTCCTTAAAGCTTCCCTTTCCCTTCTTCCCGTTTCTTCTTCCAGCAACAAAATACTATCTCCGTCTTACATCTCATGTTTTCTCGTAGTGTTTGTCTTTGTTCGAGTCATTGCCCAATTTTTATTGTGATTTTGATGAGTGAGATTTGATATGGTTTAATGATAAGCTAAATAACTAATATCTTTTGAGAAGTTCATAGTGATTTATTGTAAGAAAAATTAGATCAACCACTGAAAGACTTTGAAACTTGAAAATCATAAATTGCATTTGTCGAGTTTGTAATTGTTTGATTAGATTTTGAGTGGCGTGTGATTAAAATATCGATTGGCAACTGTAACTAAATGTTGAGTCAATTTGGTTGAGATTTGGAGTAATTTTTTGAATTTTGAGTCGAAATTGAGTTGACGTAGCAAAAAAGACAATTTATATATTGTTACTAAATTTTTAGTCAATTTGCTAGATTTTTAAAGTTTGGGTTGTTATTGAGTTGATGTGTAGATTATACTTTTGATGCTGGTTTTTGGAGATTTATTGTACAAAAATTTAAATCCATCACTGAATGTCCTTGAAGCTTGAAACTCATAACTTGGTTTGTTTGAGTTTTTAATTGTTTTGATCCGATCTTGTACGAGTTTGTTTGGAAAGTTGATTGGAGCTAGGTTGTAGCTAAAGTTTTAGTCAATTTGGTGGAGATTTTATCGTAGATTTTAGAAATTTGGGTTGAAATATAGTTGAACCAGAGAAGCAGACAAATTTGTATTGTATATCCGTATAGAATACAAATATACCATTTTGGTATACAATTCATTCCAACTATATACCCTATTAATATAGCTGTATATTATATTGGTATCATATGATAGTTGAATTATTTTTTGGTTGTATTAGTTGTATTTAATTGGTACAATATTTGATTTTCTTTTAATAATAGTAATATAGTACAATATCTTGAAATACTTTATTATATTAATATGTGGTACACGATTTTTTTATTTTTCTCTTTATACATGTGTGTTATGTAATAGTAGTACAATCACATAGTTGCCGGAAATTAACCAGTAAAACTGTATATCATGTTGGTATAGTTATATGTCATATTGGTATCATATGGTAGTTTGAACATTGTTTTGGTTGTTTTAGCTGCATTTTAAGTGAATTCTATTATGAAATTATTTATATGAACATGATTTGCAGTGCTGGAATTTTTGTGTGCCAATGAACATAAATTATGTGTATTATGTAATAGTTTTTATAGTTATAGGCAATTATTGGAACGACCCCTTACTATACCCTATTAGTATACAGAATGAGCAAGTTATTTTGCGAATATTTAGCTTGCAATACGATCATGTAATTTTCTCATACTTTTATTGTGTCCTTTAATGTTTTGGTACAGTAGTATAGTCGCAGATAGTTATAACAATATTCTAGAGCAATCATACGATCTGTTGGTATACATGTATACCGTATTTGTATCACATGGTACTAGAAGTCTTTTTTGCTACTTATACTTTTATTGAATTTTTTAATATTTTATTATCATTTTTATTCTAACTAGTATATATGGAGATTTGGTTGACGTAGATTATGTTTTCTTGCTCTATAACTGGTTGTATTACCGTTAATGACAGAGTGTGTACTGATATTTGTAGGGAAGGAGATCAAGGTTTGCATGGCAATCACGTGTTGATTCTTAGAATTTGATTACGTAATTTATGATGCTCAGCAGCAGTCAGTATGATATTCAGTTAATTAGATCAAGTGACAACTGATATTATTTTAATTTAATAATTGAATTTAAAAAAATGAGAAAAAAAACAAAAACAAAAGGTATATTGTACTAGTTATATTAAAAAAAGGTGAACAAATATTTACTATATTAGTTATTTTTTCTTATTGTATAAAAAATAATTAAAAAAATAGTAAAAACAGTAAATGAAATTAGATTATGAAGAGAAAAAGAAAATAAAAAAAAGTTAAATGAAATTAGAAAAGAAAAAAAGAAAAAAAGAAAAAGAAAACGAGAAAAAAGAAAAGGAGAAAAGAAAGAAAAAAAGGAAAAAAAGAAAAGAAGCATAGAAATAAAAAAGAATTNAGTTAAATGAAATTAGAAAAGAAAAAAAAACAAGAAAAAAGAAAAGGAGAAAAGAAAGAAATAAAGGAAAAAAAGAAAAGAAGCATAAAAATAAAAAAGAATTGTAGATGAAAGAAAAAATTCCCCAGAAAAATTATTATGGGTAGGAAATGTAATTAGTTTGATGAGTAGGAAAACAAATGAATAAACAAGGGTAAATAGTTTTGTTTTTGTGGGAATTTATGTCATTCTCCCTTAATTTAGAGACCATGGGTTGTATTCATATATGACTAGATTGTGAATTTATGGGAACAAAGGCTAACATCCGAAACGTGTTTGGCCCAAATGATGAAAACTCTCCTTAAACCAATCTTAGTAAATACATGCAGCTGGCTCCAATTCCTTTTTAGCAGAATGCCTAACCATTGTCAAACATTTCCAAACAACTTAGATTCAGTTAATACTACTCATATCCATTAGTAAATTTACACCATTTTCCACCAATCCAATCTGTAACTCATACACCCCACAATGCATCTCAAATATTTGAGTGATTTAATAATCGTAATTTGCTTTAGACTCGTTTACTAAATTATCATGATTATGGGTACGGTTCTCGTGGCATAGGCATGATACGTAATCCACAATCCGAGTGTGCGTTTCACGTAATTCAACCATAACTTCAAAAAATAATAATAAAAATAAACAAATTGTAAATCGCGGGTACGTTTCACGTGGCGCGATTCGCAATATGTACAAAAACAAACGAGTGCGTGACGTCGTGACTTGTTTAAATAAATTCCACAAATACTAAAAGCGGTTAAATACATAATTAAAAGCTGTTAGAAGGTAAAAAGCACAATAGATTTAAAACATGTAATAAATCAGAAAATTAAGCCAAATATTAATAGTTGAGCGACCGTGCTAAAATCATGTGATGACCTAAACTTGTTTTGGAAATAAATTCTATGTTCTGAGGCCTTAAAACCTTCCTTTTTGTCTCACCTCGATTCACGTGCACAGTTCGGGTGTATATCCGAAAAGTCATTATGTGGAAATCTGTGAAAAATGATAAATTTTGCTTTTAAGATGAATTTAAGTTGACTTCGATCAATATTTTGGGTAAACGGATCCGGAGCCGTAATTTGACGGTCCCGGAGGGTTCGTAGGAAAATATGGGACTTGGGTATATGCCAGGAATCGAATTTCGAGGTCCCAAGCCCGAGAAATGAATTTTTTAAAAAAATGTTTAGCTGAAATTTTAAGAGTTTTGGAAAGTTAAATATGTTTGAATTTGATGGTATCGGTCCCGTATTTTGGTTCCAGAGCCCGGTACATGTCTTATATGGTATTTCAGTTGAGCATGTAAAACTTGGTAAGAAACGGACTTGAAATGACATGAATCGGACCCTCGGTTGTTAGAAATGGAACTTAAGAGTTCATGAGATTTTCTTTGATTTTAATGCTAAATCTGTTGTTAAAGGTGTTAATGTGGCGATTTGGTCGCACGAGTAAGTTCATATGATGTTTTTGAGTTAGTATGCACGTTTGATTTGGAGCCCCGAGGGCTCGGTTGAGTTTCGAATAGGTTTCGGGATGTTTTTACACTTAGGAAAAAGTTGCAGGTTCAGAGGAGTTGCAGGTCTCTGAAGCTAGGTCTCGCGGTCCGCGGTGGAACCTTCGCGACCGCGGTGGGGTCTTCGCGACCTCGGTGGGATTTGTGCGGTCCACGGTGAGCAAGGTCAAGTCTTCGCGGCCGCGCTCGATTTCTTGCGGTCTGCAGTGGAGCTCCGCGGTCGCGGTCCATTTTTATATGGTCCGCGGAGAGGGTATGAGAGGAGTATAATTAAACGGGACTTTTCAGTTATTTCTCATTTTTCAAAACCCTAAAACATAAGAGACGATTTTGTAAGGCATTTTTTCTTCTCCAAAACACTACTAAGTGATTTTAAACTCATTTCTTTCACTCCTTAACTTCTCTTTACAAGATTTCATCCTAAAATCTAGGGTTTTCATTGTGGAATTGGAAATTTTGGATAAAATCTAAGAATATTGAAATTTGGGGATTTAGACCTCAAATTGAGGTCGGATTCCAAAATCAATTATATATCCGGGCTCAGGGGTGAATGGGTAATCGGGTTTTGGTTCGAATTTTGGGTTTGGACCAAGCGGGCCCAGGGTCGATTTTTGACTTTTTGGGGAAAACTTTATAAAACCTATTTTCATACATTAGAATTGATTCATTTAGCATTTATTGATATCGTTAAGTAAATTGTGGCTAGATACAAGCGAGTTGGTGGTGGAAACAAGAGGTAAAGCGGTAGTTGAAGCTTGGATTGTGTTCGTGGCATCGAGGTAAGTGTTTGGTCTAAGCTTAGCTTGGGGGATTAGGAATCGTGTCTTATTTGTTATGTGTTAATTATTGAGTACGACATATAGGCATGGTGACGAGTATCTATACGTTGGTGTCAAGCATGCCCGTGAGTCTTATAATATGATTAATGTGACTTTGTTTCATATTATTCATGCTTTATATAATGATTTCCATTGATGAACAAGACTTGTGAAAGTATTATTGATAATTGAACATCGAAGAGCGTTAGCTCAAGTTGTAAAATGATTTGTAGAAGTATTATTACCAATTGAACATTTTAGAGCATTGACTCAAGTTGTGAAGTAAATGTGGAAAAGAGAAGA